AGAGCACTCCTAGGCACCTACCCCACTGCTGAGGTGTTTGTCTGTAAATAACAGGAGAAGTCTGCGGCCAGGTGTCCCTGACTCAGTTAGGCTAGGTGAAGGACCATAGCAATCCCCAATCAGCATGAGACAGGGAAATACCTGGGATGCCAGATGACCCCCCAGTAGTTTATGGTGGTTGATAACATGTTGGGAAACCATGGAGTTCAGCACGTACACCCCTCGTGGCCTAAACCAGTCAGTTCAAAGGAATCCCCCTCTTGTACTAGCCAATCACCCCTACCCGACTTGTTCCCGCCAGCGAATGTGCTAATCAATGCTAAGAGTTGTTGTTTGACTTTCCTGCGGTGTGGAATGATTTGCTGTGTGATGTTGTGACGCACAGAGTATCCCCCCAAAACCTATAAAATCTCACTGGTCACGAGACGGGGATTCAYTCCCTGGGGCCRCTGTGTCGGGAACGGTTGTGAGTCCAGGCTCCAGCRGGACTGGGGAGCGTGTGCCTGGGGACAAGCACTTGGAGGTGCACGGGGATCCCTCCTCCAGCCGGACTCCCCGGAGCAGAGTGCTTCACCCAGACCTCTGAGACGCCCCAGAGGACTGTCCCCGTGGAAGCCACACCTCCCTCGACCCGCTGGGCCCCTCAGCCAGCCGTCTCCGTGGCACCCGCCCGGCTGTGGGTCTCCCATCTCTCCAGGGCCTGGCTGTACCTCTGACTGAGCCAGTGACACTCACGGCCGAAGGTCCCATCACYCCAGAATCTCCTCTCACCAGAGCCTGTCGGTCCTTCTTGGCTGCAGCCTCCCCACAGTCCCGGACGCAGCCCACGGTGTCGAGTTCTGCCTCAGCCTCACGAGGGAGACCTTTAGCCCGTTCCCAGTGGAACCCAGGTCTCKGCGGGAAAGCCCCTCCGCTCGGCCTCCCGCTCCTGTCAGCTTCCTGTCACCACCCACGCCAGCCTCCAGGACACCCGTGCTCTGTTTGTCTTTGAGTCCYCACCAGGTTTGCCAGAGGGCCCCACCTCTCCTGTCCAGGCTTCTCCCAGCCTCTCCTCCGAGCCTCTCCCACCCKCTGCCGCCCAGCTCCTGAGCCGCCTCCCCGGGGTCAGGCGCAGTTACAGTCAAGAGCCAGTTTTCCACATGGGTCCACGCTTCTTTGCTGTCATGGGAATCCTGACGCAGGGTTTTCTTTTCAAGAAAAGAGGTTTATTTCATCTCATGGTTCTAGAGGTGCAAGGGCTGCACCTGGAGATGGCCTCCCTGCGGGCAGAGCCCTGGGGTGGGGCAGGGCATCACGTGGCAGGACAGAGGGAGCATGGGTGCGTCTTTGGTCTCCCTCTTCTCATAAGGCCTCCAGGACTCAGCCATGGGGCCCACCCTGGCCACCTTATCTGATCACATCAACTTCTGAAGACCCTCCTTGAACAACAGAGTGGACTCACTCCGTCCTCCCGAGGCTCAGATGGGATTAAACGGAGTCCTGAAGACCTGGGGGGACTCTCAGGGCACGCTGTGGCTCTACCTGTCACTGTTTCTGGATGAGAAATGGCCTCCCGGCCAAACCCAGGGGACCATGGGAGGTGGCTCGGGACCCACCGGGGCTGCCATCGACGCTGTGCTCCCAGGAGATGACCTGTGCCTTCACGTCTAGCTTCCCAGGCATCCATCAGGGCCACAGCCGGAGGAGGCGGCCTCGACACCCTGTGAGGTGCCACCTCACACCAGCAGCCAGAATCCACAGGTCGGGGCTCGGGGGTGCAGAGGGGCAGCCCTGTGGGCGTGGCCTAGGAGAAGTCCCAGAAAAAGCCGAGCCTGGGGCCCTTCAGGACTTGCACGCCGGTTTGGAGATCTTAGTAGCCAACAAGGAAAGCTTCTGCCCCAGCACAAAACAGCTGTGGGTGGCCCCTGGGCTCCTCGTAAGAGGGCCTGGGTGATGGCTGGGGTGCTCACAAGGGGTCAAGGGCAGGCTCCGGTGGCCCTAGGCCTCTCCTTGCCCCAGCACCTCTGGGAGAAGCAGGCAAAGGCCGSAGCAGCAATCGACTCCGAGGAGGTGGTCACTGCCTGGTGGCTCTCAGAGGGACCTCCTAGCAGGTCAGTTGTCTCCGTGCCTTGTCTCTGGGCGAGGGGTGGGGTCGGAAGGGGTCGGGCTCGCCCCAGGCCCCCGGCCCAGCCCCGTCTTCCTGCTCTGGGGGGCGGAAGGCGCAGACCAGGCAGGGATGCCCAGGGAGCTCCTCCTCCTAGCCAAGGGGGCCTCACCTCCTGCTCCTGCTCCAGGCTCTAAGTGGGGGAGTGACAGAGCGCTGGGTGCTGTGGAGTCAAACAAGGCCCAGGTGAGGCCTCCCAGAGTCTGGGCCACTCAGGTGAGGCCTGTCCCCGGAGCCCAGAGTGAGTCAGAGGGAGGGATGTGAAGGGGAACTTCCCCTGCGCTGGGTGAAGCCCGCAGGCTCTGGCCCTCCTTTCCCTCCACCCCCCACAGTGTGCAGGGTGTCCTCCTCCACTCGGCTTCTCAGGCTGCAGAACCAGAGGGGAGCAACCCCTGGAGACCCGGGGCTGCTGGGGCCCAGAAGCCTCAAGACATTGGGGTGCCTCCCTTTGGGGGAGAATCCTGTGGTGGGTGCTTTATGTGGGGTGAGCGTGTTCTTGTCTGTTCTTGGTGATGCTGGGGCCACCCTGAACTCTTGTTGGGAAGTGTATCTGTGTCGGCAGGAGGACCAGGGGGGACGCATGGGCTTTGTCCTTTGGGGCTGTGCATCGTGGGATGGTCTACATTTGGGGGAGCTCTCGCGTGGCCTGGGTGGGGGCAGGGCCCCCTCCCCCAGTGGAAGCTCTGCCCTGAGCTGGGCCCACCTGGTGCTCCCCAGGACTAGGAAGTGGACTGAATTCTGCAGACGTGCAGGTGGCTCAGCACAGAGGTGGGTGAGTGTCCAGTGACGGTGGCTGGTGCAGCAGGATTTCCGAGTCACTCGGCCCACCCCACGTCCTGACTGAATCCTGTGCAGCAGGCTGTGTCCAGCCCCGAGTCACTCTGTTCCACAGAGCAGCACTTCACCCTGAGTGTCTCCATGTCAGTCCAGCACTAAGGCAGAGTGACCTGGTGACTCCTCTGGGCAAGCCGGAAACCACCGAGGGTGGACGCACAGGAGTTAAGGAAAAGAGTAACCCGGCGGCAGCCATCGCGAGGCGTGAACGGATGACGACGAAGTTGTGCTGAGAAAATGGACCACGCGTGCACCTTGGGGTTGGGTCAGAGGCACGTGGATGCAGTGGCCTGTCAGACCTCTGCCCGGGGAACCGGCCTGTGAGTGTATCCGAGTGTATCGGAGCACCCCCACCTGGAGGTGTGGAAGGAGACCACCCAAGATGGCTCAGCAGGTGAGCAGGTGKGCAGCGCCTGGCGCAGTCTGTCCCTCGGGCTTCTTGGCTGGACCTTGTGATGGTCCCGCAGGGCTCTTATCTGCCCCCCCGCATCCCATCACCTCTGCCTTTGCTCYGCTCTGTGTCTGACCCTGTGGCCACTGCTGGCCCTTCTGTGACCCACAGATGACGGTGTAAAGTGCCGTCGGAGACTGCAGTGAGAGAGGCTGCACTGGAGACTGGCATGGAGGGTGGGGCTGGGGCTCAGYGGTCGAGCAGTTGCCCGGCGTGTGTGAGGCTCTGGGTTTGATTCTGAGCACTGCATGTAAACAGATGAATAAGAATAAAGGTCCATGGACAACAAAGAAATATTAAAAAGCAAAAACGCGTGGCATGGAATGGAAGCACCTGTGGGTGCCCCGGCACGGTCCCACCACCCAGTGAACAGGGTGTCTGTGAGGGACAGTGCMGCTGTGAATCCGCTGTCGCTCGGTGCACTCTGAATCATGCAAAGACAGACGCGCCCAGTCTGTGTTAATGGCACGGCTCGCTCCTGGCAAATCCCTCAGAACCCGTCCTGTGACATCTCTGTCAACGCGATAAGGTTTCTGCTTCAGGATCCTGACACGCTGCACGTGGTGGAGCTGGAGGGTGCTATTCTGGGTGCGATAAGCTGTCCACGAACGGACAAGTGCTCTGAGATTCCATTTCTGTGAGGTCCCTGAGTCACAGATCCACAGGGACAGAAAGCGGGCGGGGGGGGGGGGTTCCAGTGGCTGGGGGAGCTGGGAGCCAGCATCTGGGGGACAGAGCTTCAGTTTGGGGGGATGGGAAAGCTCTGGAGGTGGACAGTGGTGATGGCGGCACAGCAGGGTGGACGTGCTCAGTGCCCCGGTCAGGCGCTGAGCCATGACGGGGATCGGGAGCTTCGTGTTACGTGTGTTCCCCACAGTTGAAAAGATCCTCTTTCAGTCAGGAGAGGATGTGGGGGCCTCCGCCCCTCATGGACCTCGGAGCGCAGGACTCTGAGCTGGTGACGTGGAGGATCTGAAGCTTGAGGGAGACTTCCCCTGCCCTTGTGGTTGAGTGAGGGTGGCCACAGGAGGAGGAAGGGGCATCTCAAGGAGCAGAAAGTGGCCCCCATGGGCCCCGCCCGCCTGTCCCCAGGAGAACTTGGCCTGTGAGACCCTGAGGGGAGAGCCCACCCAGCCCACCTGGACTCTGACCTCAGAGCCGTGGGCCGCCACGTTTGTTAGGGCAGGAAGAGGAGCAAATGGAAAGAGCAGCAGCAGTTTAAGTCTCTGTGTGACAGTGGGCTGTGACCTGACAGGATCACCAGCTTTGCGGCCCCCCCCCCCCGTCATCTCGGGCTGCAGTTGGCACCGGGGGATGGGGCCTAGGTCCACACCCAGCTGGCTCCCTGAGAGCCCGAGAGTTCTGTCCCACCGTCGCCTGCTTGTCAGGTCTGGTCTGTGGGGACCCCAGAGGGTGGCCTCTGCCTAGGACAGCAGCGGCAGGCCCTGGGTGGTGTGCTGACCGGCGCTCTGGTCCTCCTGGGCGGCCCTGCTTGCTCTCTTCGCTCCTCATTCCATTCTGCAGCGTCAGGGGACCACCCTGGGCTCCCTGTGCTCTGCACGGAGTCTGTTTATCTGGCCGGTCTTCCCCATACTGTCCACCTGAAGGACGGAGCTCATCTTCCTTACGGGTCCTGTGGGGCCTGTGGCTGGGGCCTCCCGTCTGGGGGCAGATGGGTGGCAGGACAGGGTGGAATCAGAGGGTTAGCTCTGGAGCCGATGAGGGTCATGCAAGCATCCTCTTGGACCCCGATGGCCAGCAAGAGCCTCTGCTTCAGAGGAGCGTCGAGGTACAGGTCCACCCTGGGAGAGTGTGAAGCGGCTGGGTTCCTGGGCCTGGCAGCCACAGGCTCTAAGAAGCAGAAAGAATGTTGAGGCCATTCTAGAATGTTCTAGAGGAGACTGTGACTCTGTTCCAGAACACTCTAGGGAAGACCGTGAGGCTGACATAGAATGTTCTGGAGGGGACTGTGAGGCTGTTGTAGAACATTCTAGAGCAGAACTGAGGCTGTTCTAGAACATTCTAGGAGCACTGTGAGTCTGTCCCAGAAGGCTCTTTAGGAGACAAGAGGCTGTCTGAGAACATGGAGGGGCTAGGCAGGATCCCAGGCAGGGAGGGGCCCAGATGACCAGAGTGGGGCCAGCAGGGGGGGTGACTGGAGCTGGCAGGCAGGGTGGCCGAGCACCCGGGAGCAGGAGGGACTTCTGGCTTCTGGGCGTGGGTTCTTCCTGGCATTGCGCATGGGGAGTCCTGATAGAGGTCCTGGCCTGGGGCTGTGCCTGGGGGCCCTGGCAGCACACACCTCTCTGTGCCAGTGTCTATGTGTAGCAGGTGCCAGGCCAGGTCTTGGCAGGGACTGGAGGTGGGTAGTGTGGAGTGTAGACTGGTCTGGCCCCGCCCAGTGGAGCTGACCATCCAAGTGCTTCCTCTGGAGACCCAGTCATGGCCCTTGGTCCAGGGGCCCAGCCCACCCAGACAGACACAGACACCTTTGGGCCTCCTTCAGGGCTGTAGGACCCTTGAGGGCATCCAGTGGACCCTGGGGCCTACCGTGGAGTCAGGGTGTATTTGTCTCTGCGGTCCAAGCCACGGCCGGAGCAGACGGCAAAGCAGAGGAAGGAGCTGAGCAGCATGGCATAGACCTGATGGACAACCAGATGTCCCCGAGTCGGCAGGGACACAGCACTGGGGGGGGGGGAACCCCGGGGGGTCTGGATTTCGCAGCATTGGGAGGGGACAGGTGTCCTGGGAAAGGAGCAAGGCAGACCCTGAACCCCCAAGGCCACCTCCTGGATCAGAGGCTGCTCCTCCCTGAGGACCCTGGTGTGGCCCAGGGCTGGGTGTCTTGGCCGAGGCTGTCAGCTGAGGCTGCCTCATCCTGCCTTCTGTGGCCCCTGGACCCAGGGCCATGTCTGGGTCTCCACAGGGCAAGAGGAGGGATGGGGAAGGGGCATCGAGCGGGGGCGGGTACCATGAGGGCCAGGCCGGTGCTGGTTAGCATGAAGGCAACGTTCTGCGGTGTCTTCAGGAAGCTCCTGATGCTCTGCAGACAGTCCTAGGCAGGGCGCAGCGTACATGGTGCCCACCCTGGCCAGACCTCCCTGCCCAGCATGACCAGCCTCGGAGGAGCCCCGGAGAGGCAGGACCCTACCCTGTCAAAGTCAGGTTGTGGGAACTTGGGGTGCACCACCTTCCTGGGGAGAATCACCCAGAGCCCTGGATGAGGCAGCAAGGGCCGGCAAAACCAAGGATCACAGGCTGGCTGCTGTGGGGCCCCAGGGACCGCCGTGCCTGGCCAAGCTGCCCTGGGCTCCTGTACTGGCCACGTGTCCAGCTCCTGCAGGTGGCCAAGGGCAGCATGGCACCTCAGTGTCTAGAGCTCATAGGGAGGACAGAGGAGCAGCCCACGGAGGGGTGAGGGGCTTCCCTTGCTGCCCTGTGCTGTCCTCCCCTCACTGAGCACAGGGCGCAGCACCCACCGAGGTCCTCCCCAGAAGGGAGGTGGTGTCATGGCAGGGTGGCATCTGCCCGTGCTGGTCTCATGCTGCCTGGGTGACCCCCGAATCTCTGCCTGCCCTGACCAGGAGGCCAGGAGGCCAGGCGTTCCCTCCAGATGTGCTGGCCAAGAACTGTGGGCTCTAAGGCAGCTGCCAAAGTGGCCTCTGGCTTCCTGACATTAAAGGACACGGGCACTTCCCACTCAGTCACCGGCTCACGCCTTCACCGTGACCCGGCCCCCAGGGCCGAAGCTGAGAGTCCACCTCCTGCTTCTCTTTCTCCTGGACAAGAACAAAAGTCCCTTCATTCTTCGCTGGGCCCCAACTTGCCTTTGATTCTGGGATTCCAGTTCCCAGAGGGACAAAGGACCCAGGAGCCACACGGTGTTGTCCCACCCTCCTGCCAGCAGGCGTCCTCCTGGCCCACACCAGCCTGCCCCTGCTGGCCCCTGCTTCCCCCGGGGGGCATTACAGCCAGGCCCCAGCCTGTGTTTTGCAGTGGGTCCTGTGGACTGCCCTTGGGTGGAAGGGCTCCCCGGCTCAGTCCCTCCCAGCACACTGGCCCTGGGGGTGGGGGCGCAGTGGACTTCTGGGCCTCAAGCCATTTCCCACCCTCCTCTGTTTCTTGGAGGGTCGCCAGGCACATCCACAGGAGATAGGGCCAGTCTATTTCCAGGACAGTGGGGCGTCGCAGCAGGGGAGAAGGGAGGGCGGGCGGAGTCCCAGTCCAGGCCAGCAGGAAGGGCCACGGCCTGGCCAGGGCTGCCCTCAGCTCAGCCGTCCTCCTGGAATGCCCTTCCTGCTGCTTCCCCCAGCCAGACCCGATACCCTCTCTGGGTTCCGGCACAGAGACCTTTTCTGTAAGCTTCTAGAAGTTTCTGAGGCTGGGTCCACCTAGCCCGGGGGAGCACCAAGCTGGGAGCTGTGTGAAGGAGTGAGTGGAGCCCGTGCCTGGTGTCCAGCTGACACAAGGGGCCTTGGCTGAGGCCAGGGTCAAGCTGGCTGCCGTGAGCTTCTGGCACAGTAGCCCCCTGCTGCCCCCCCTCCCAGGGGACCCTTCCCTAGGCCCTTCCACGAAGGCTCCGTGGGTGTGGGAAAACCAGGTCAGGAGGTCCGTGGGGCTCTGCCCGAGGCCTGCGTCCTGCTTGGCCAGGAGGCTCTGCCTACTCCTTACCTCTCTCGCTGCCTCCTTGCCCCAACACGGGTCGGCTTCCCTGCTCCCCAGAAGCTGGAAAGGGGACCTCTTTCCACAGCACAGAAACTGTAAGACAGATGCAGGGAGCTGTGGGCAGTGGTCAGGATGGTGGGGAGACTGAGGCACCCATGGACAAATGACCTAGGTGGGTCCTGCAGAACTGGCCCCTAGAGGCAGGGCTTCCTGGGTCACAGCTGCTTCTGCTGGGGCACAGCCACTGGCAGCCTGGGCCTAGCCAGGGGGAGGCCTTCCCTGTAACTTGGGGGCCAGTAACCCTCGCTGTGGGGCCACGGTGCTGTGGCAGACGGAGCGCCCACTTGCTCTAACACTCTGTCCTCACCGTCTGGAAATCCTTAACCGTGTCTGAACAGGACCTGCCTTTTCACTTTGTGTCTGGCCCAAGATTCTGTGGGCACCCGTCCGGGGGAGAGGACTGGAGCTCTTATCCTCTACCTGAAAGTGGGCAGCCATGGCCTGTGTCCTGGGAACCCCCAGGGCTGGCCCAGGATGGCTGACTCGGGAGGGTGTCCAGTGCCCATTCTGTGTAGCACACTGAGGTTGACCACCTGTGGCATGCTGGCAAAGGGAAGGCCCTGCCCCGACTCACCGTGTCCTGGATGGCAGCCAGCTCCGGCCACTGGATGCTGGACGGGCTCCTCACCGCCTGATCATACACCAGGTCGTAGGTGTCCAGCATGGCATCCTCCACCTGCACCAAGAGCACCACGGGAAAGCCTGGGCCCAGGGGAGCTCCCGTGAAGCCCTGGAGGCCAGGCAGGGCCCAGTGCCCCACAATTCCCCCCTCCCGGGGGAGCTCCAGAGGCTCTGGGCACCGGTCACAGGGGTCCTGGACTTCAGTTGTGGGCCTCTTTCCCCAGGATGGCCTGCCATGTGGCCTCCTACTCCCCCAGGGGGGCCTGAGGGATAAAGCAGAGGCTATGTCCCTCAGCTGTGGCCCTGGGGAGTGTGGCCAAGGGAAGTGTCCACCTTCTCTGTGGTCTGGGCATGTGCAAGGAATGGGGCCAGCAAGGAGTCTCAGGAGAGGCCTGGGGCCAGGTCTCAGCCCCCAAAGGTGCTGGCAGGTCTCTCTCCAGAGCCATGCAGAATCCTGGGCACTGGGCTCCACATCAGGCCTCTGAGCAGGGATGCTTGGGCACCCAGGTTCCACCCCAGGAGGACGAGGCCACTTGGGGCAGAGGCTGGTGTGGACCAGGCTGGCTGGCTTCCCTCCTCACCCAACGTCCCTAGACCTCCGTGCCTCTGCTGTCCCGAGGGTGGCTTTGCTGCCTCTTCCCGTGCCCTGCCCCAAATGCCCTCTTCTTGACAAGTATCCCCCCTGAAGCAAGATGGAGCCCCACCTATTCCAGGAAGGCATCCCTGACGGTCCCTGGTCTCCTGGCCCAAGGCAGGCCCCCCGATGCCTCCTCCTGTCTTGGAGGCCCTGAGTCTTCCCTTCCACTCCAGGCCATGCAGACAGCTGGACTCACCTGGAGGGCCAGGGTGAGCGAGGACCAGTGTCCGCTCTGGCCACGTGTGCCTGCCCGACAGAAAGGAAGGGGACTACCTCACAGCCCTGGTTTCTCTGGGGCCTGGTCCCCACAGCAGGCCCCATCAACAGACTGCAGGTCTGGGTGGGCATGTGGGCAGGCTGGCACTGGAGCTCAGCTGGCCCTGCCCCAGCCCAGATCCCTTCGGTGCCAGACAGAACTTCTGAGCCCAACACTGCTCCTGGCACAGATTAATCTCTCTGCACTGATGGCTAACAAAAGTCAGACATCCTCATGAGTCATCCCCAACACGGCTCCGTCCTCCCCCACCCCCAGGGCRCGGGTGCCAAGTGGCCTCAGTCACTGCAAATCTGGGCCAGGACTCTCTCTGGGCTTCAGTCTCCTGGCGTGTGCACGGGAGCTGAGCCCTGCTGGGCCACTGTGTCCTCGTGGGAGGAGGACCTGGGGAGGGGGAGGGGCCTTGTGGAGCTGATCTGGGGGGCCAGGTCCTCCTTCCGAACTGCAATGACTTTATCTCCCCTGCCAGCCCATGGTGGCCTAGAGAGGACCCCACGCTCCTAGGACCAGCTCTCCCTGTTCCTGCAGGGCAGTAAATAATGCCTCTGTGGGCCGAGGGACTTACTTGGCCTGGCAGGTGTCTCTCTGACCAAGGGAGGGTGCTCTGGGGCAGGATCCCCTGCCCCAGACCCCACTCCCTGGCTCCAGGGGCCCTGGAAGGCCAGGCTGGACCCTCTCTGCAGGGCTGGTTCAGTTTTGGGGTTCAGGGGACTCTGTACGGCCCAGGCCCATGTTGCTCAGGGGAAAACCAGGGGTGGATGCTGGGGCTCTGAGCCTCATCTGCAGCTGTCCAGGGAGCAGCCGTCCTGGCCAGGGGACTGAGCTACGGTGCTCACGTGCATCAGATCTTGCACTTCACGGTGCTGCGGACTGAGGGTTAGGGTCTGGGACGGACCCCGGGGCTCACCCCCAAGACAGGGTCTTCCCAGATACCTGCCAGGGTATCCTACCCCCTCAATGGCCCAGGGTGGCACCAATAGGTCCTGGGGCCAGGTAGGAGATCCCATGAGGAGCTGCAGAGGGTCTGAGAATCTTCCCTGAAGGCCCAGCTCAGAGCATTCGGGGACGGGACTTGCCCACCCTGAGGATGCTCCTCCTACTCCTGGGCTCAGTCTCAGCAGGAAATCTTAAAGGGAGCTGGGCCATCCATCTTCCCCACAGACTTCTGGGGACAGCAGGAGGTTGCTGAGCAGTGGCCATGAGGCCACAGCCGTGACCAGCAGCCTCTTCGCCCCACGGCCTGGTCTGCATCGCTGCCCTCCCCAGCCTCCAGTTGCCTGCTGGTGCCTGGGAAGTGGCATCTGGGGACCCCCTGAGTAGGGGCTCCTTGGAGTGGGGCATAGAAAGGGCACCCCACTCTCAGCCCTGGCCGGGCCTGGGCTTTCCTCCTGTCCTCAGGCCTGCCAGCTGCAGTGGACCTGGTAGCCATCTTGAGACGCTACTGGCTTCAGCACATCTTAGGGGGCCCTCTGGGGAGGTGCAGGGGGACGGGGTGACTGGCCTGGCTGGACCCTGGCGCCCACCTCAGCCTTAGCAGTGTCGACAGCTCTGTCTTCTGGCCTTCCTCACCCACTAGGCCTCTGTCAGGACCTGACCAGCACGTCCCAGCTGGCCTCTGTCTGGTGGGCCCTGGAGGACCCCTCTCTCTTGAACGGTGAGTCCTGGGCTCAGAGCCCCAGCCAGCCCAGGGTACTTGGCAGCTGCCTGGACCAGGCCACCCAAGTTGTGGTCCAGACCTCCAACTGGCCAGACTGCTCCTTCCTCAGTGGACAGGAAACGTGATGCCCAAATGCTGGCCTGGTCCTGCTCTCCTCCAGCTGTACTGCTGGATCCTCCTGCCCAGAACCTCAGCTGTCAGGGGCTCTGCCCCCTCCAGATCCTTCTGGGCCAGTGGAAATGGATTTACCTCTCTCTGGTCTCAGGGGTGGGCACTTGGGTGAGAACTTTGGGCAAGGAAGAGAGAAGAGGCCTCAACTCTGGGCCAAGAGCCTGGACCCCTCCGTCTGAGCATGCCCAGGTGACCCCAGAGGGCAGGCCCTCCATCTGCAAAGCTGTGACTGGCCACTCAGAGGCCTCCAGAGGATCTCCTGCTACAGCCATGGCCGCGAGCCTAGTATCTTGCATGTCTACTGGGGATTGTGTGCGTCAGGACTGGGTAACTGAGGGTCCTTGAGGACCCCAGGAGTCACCTCCTTAGCCCCTGGGCTTTCTTGCCCTGTGTGGAGCTAGGCACCAGCCCCAGGCTCCAGGCCTGCCCCTGGGCCTGCCTGCTCTGGGCTCTCCAGGGCCCGCYGGGGCACAAGGGGCCTTCCCTCCTCTCCAACCTACTGGTTTTCAGCCAGGATGCCATTGGACCCTACCCCTGGGCCACTGGGCAGGTCAGTGTCCAGAACAGGACAGCAGCTGTGCTGCCCATGAGGCCAGGACTTGCCCACCACTGTCCTCCAGCCCCTCCTACACGCTATCATCCCTGCCTCCAGGTCTGAGTCAGATCCAAGTCCCTCTTTGTGCATTTTCGGGGCAAGCCCTCTACCAGGCKGCCACATCCCCAGCCCATGCTGTGCATTTCCTGGAATGTACCACCCCTCCAGTCCGTCTCTCACCCACCTCCCCCAGTTGCATCTTCTAGGGCCTGGGGTGTCTGCAGAGGGACAAGGGAGGGGCAGAGCTCTCCCCTCCTCCCCAGGGAGCTGCTGCCCCTAGCCCAGGAGGAGACCACCTGCCCCGGCACAGAGGCAGGAACAGTCAACCAGTGGGCCCCTTCCCCACCACACACTGGGTGCGCTCCCAGCCCTCAGCTGCAGGTGGGAYGGCAGGCACTCACCTGGGTGGGGTTGTGGAACCTCCAGTAGGCCACCTGCACCAGGCTGCAGAACACCAGGGYGAAGCACAGGAAGCCCTGGGAACAAAGGGGCCTGGTCACTGTGTGCAGGCTGGTGGCCTGGGTAGGCTGGCAGCTGGTGTGCAGAGAGGCTGCTCCCTAGACGGAGGTGAGCGGTTTGGTTTTGTGGTCCCGGGGCGTGAAACCAGGAGGCTCTACCACTGAACTGCATCCTCAGCCAGTTTTATTTTATATTTTGAGATAGGGCCTCGCTAAGYTATTGAGACYGGCCTTGGACATGTGATCCTCCTGCCTCAGCCTCCCAARTCTCCAAGATTACWGGTGTGTGCCCCCAGAACCGTTTGAGGTATGGGTTTGAGCCCCAATCCTCCTTGCCRAAAGGGGAGACTTAGGACCACGGGAGACTCGCTGGTGGGTCCCTTTCCCGTCACTACTCCCTGCTGGCTCTAGAGGGCCTGTCGATCACAGTACCACACTGCCCGCCCCAGGAGGGGCAGCCCATCCCTGGGGTGGCGAGTGGCGAGACCCTGTCCACGCCCAGGAGGGCCAGGCAAAGCCTCCTGCCCCAGGACTCCCCCAGGGAAACGGAGCCCCTCCTCAGGAAGGGAAGTGGCTCCCAGCCCTGGGAGTGGGTGGGTGCCAGAAGGTTGCTCTGCTTTGTTTTCAGAAACACGCCTGGTGCAGGATGGTGCAGCCCACCTCACTGCTGGKCTGGCCCCGGACACAGTCTGCAGCCTGGGGAGCCAGTCCTCTGGGTGGAAGGAGCTGGGGACAGGGAGGGGAGGCACACCTGGGGTGCGGTGGCCACCCTCCCCTCGGGGTGAGATGCCAACACTTCCTCCACGCCCCGGCTTGTCCCAGGACCACGGCCAGCTATCTCCCCGGGCTCTAGAGGTGTGGGGCACCCCCCGCTGCTCACCAGCTCCCCCCACACRGCCCTCCTTTCTTTCAGGGTCCAGACTTTTGAGACCCTCCCTGTTGAAGAAGCTGATGGACATTGTGGACCTCTCCCCTGAAACTGCACATGAGCCCTCCCCACTTTGGGGACAGTGTCAGAGGTTCCTTTCAGACTGAGAGCCCYGGGGACACTCCCCACCAGAGACCCATCTGGTGACACAGGACCTGGGTCTCCACCAAATGTCCTCCTGGCACCGTGATCCAGGCTCTGTCCACAGTGTTCAGCTCTTCTCTCGTCAGTCCCCTGCCACCCCGCAGCAATGCCAGTGTGTGGCTGGGCCAACATGCTCTCCCCGGGGACTCTCTGCAGCCTGGGACTGCTGTGGCAGGCTGTCCCAGCCCCGGAGTCATGCGGGTAGGACGCCTGCAGATGCAGAGGGGCCCCAGACATTTGCCAGGATGGCACGGACACAGCCTCACTGGTTCCCCCAATGTGGGTGCAGGCTCCGCGGGAGTGGGGAGCCCTCTTCTCCACGTGCCCTGTGCCTGCTGGGGTCAGCCCTGACCTGGGTAGCATCCTCTCCCCTCCTCCGTCTTCTGCCCCATCCTTTCTCCTCCTCTCCTGCTCTTTTTCTTCATCCTCTTCTCCCTCCTGTTCTCCCTGGCCCTCTTCTTCACCCTCCTCTTCACCCTCCTCCTCCTCCTCCTCCTCCCCTCCCCGGGGCCTGGCTGAGGGCTGTCCTCCCCATCTGGAAGCCATCGCTCAACACTGTCTCCCAGCCTCGAGGCCACGAGCCAGCTCAGAGACCAGCATTTTCCAGAAAACATTCCATTCTCAGGAGAAAGAGCACCCACGGCCSGCCCCTCGCTGCTCTCTCTCTGCGGAGAGGGTCTTGGGCAGTGGATGGACCTCCCGAGCGTCCACAGGGCAGAGGATGCTGGGCAGGCCAGGCGTCCGCTCAAAATGAAAACAAACTCGTAAACAACTTGAATCGCTTCCTCTGGGCTGAGGGGCGGCTGAGCTTCTGGCTTAAGTTACTCCTTCATTTCCTGTGCAAAGGCTGAAGGGGGTGGGCAGGAAGGGGCAGGGAGGGGCAGCCAGGCACCACATGGGGGGGGGGAATCTTCCACTTGCTGTCCCCTCCCCGCCTTGTCACATGCCCTTTCAGACACGCCAGGTAGAGTGCGCACACAGCCAGGCCTGCGTGGTGGCCGGGGCAGGTGAGGGCAGGCCACAGGGTCTCAAGTGTCCCTGTGGTGGCCTTCTGGGCTCACTGTCCGCGCTGGGGCCCAGGGTGCAGGGGTTCAGGAGTGTGTCTGGGAGCCCCCACTGGGCCTGGAGTGGCGTGGACCCCAGTCCTGCGCAGGTATGCAGCTGGGGGTCCCAGCTGCGCCTGCAAGGCTACCCACATAAGGCCTGTCAGGCCCTGAGTCTGGCTGCAGCTGCTCTGCTCCCTTGGGGACCACCCAGAGTGTGAGTCCCTGCAGGAGTGACTGTCCCTGTGCTAGGAGACATTTGCAGATCTGGGGTCCTCATCAGGCAGGCACTGAGCCCAGGGCCAGGCTGAGAACCCCCTGGCCCTGCAGACCGGAGGCTCTGTTCTCAGGGAGCCCCAGTGAGGCAGAATTGAGATCCCCAGGGCATCCTGGGCCTCCTTGGCCACAGATCAGCTGGGGAACCCGGGAAGTCCACKGTAGGACCAGGCAGCGCAGGCCAATGAGGGTGCAGACTGGAGCCTGTGGCCACCTGCTGCCCTCTGCCGCCTGCCATCTGTGGCCTCAAGCCCAGCTCCACAGCGCCCCCTGGTGTCTGACACGCAGCCCTGGTGCCAGGCCTCTCTGGGCAGCCCTCTTGGTCTCTCTGGGCTGCCAGACCTGTCGTCCCTCTGGGGCATCCCCCGGCACACCCTCAGGGAGCACCGTCCACCAGCCCTGTCACCCGCTCACTGGGGCCTCCCTCTCAGCCCCCACACCAGGCTGACAGGCCTGGTTTCAGTGCCCACTCGTGGCCAGTGCTGTTCCTGCCCTACGTCTGTGTCCCCAGAGTGGGAATCCTGGTGAGGTTGGAGCTGCTCAGCCGCCCCAGCCGTCCCTGTGCTAGGAGACGTTTGCAGACCTGGGGTCCTCATCAGGCAGGCACTGAGCCCAGGGCCAGGCTGAGACCCGCTGGCCCTGCAGACCGGAGGCTCTGTTCTCAGGGAGCCCCTGTGAGGTCCCAGCACAGGCCACCCACCAGCCACTCACAGGCAGGGCCAGGCGAGGCCTGCCTTCGGGGGCAGGGGTCTCCCCACGCAGAGGTGGAGGTGGGAAAGGGGTGACCTCAGGGCTGGAATGGAGTGACCAGTAAGAGGCAGAGCACCAGAGAGGAGCTTCCCCCGCTCAGGTGAGCAGGGAAGGAAAGGTGGCCATGGGGGGGTCACGGGCAGGTGTTCTGGGGTGGTCATTAGGACTGGTGGGGACCAGGATGGGGCCCACATGGAGAAACAGATTTGGGAGCAACAAGGGGCCACTTCTACCAGGTTGAGGTCCAGGGCCTGTGAGACCTGGGGGCCAGGGAGACCCCTCTGGTGGCTGGGAGGGAGGGAAGAAGAGAGCTTGGCAAAGGTTCTGCCTGGCCCTGCCCAGTCTCCTCCTGAGAGGAAATGGAATCCCCCAAATCCTGGCCCCAGAGTCCTCTGGGTCACAGAACCAGGTCCTTAGGGGACGGCTCCAGGCTCCAGGGCCGGCTCCACCCTCAGGGCTCTGCTGCTGGGTGTGAGGAGGACGAGTGAAGCAGGCCCTGGGCAGTGCACTGGCCGGCCAACACCAGCTTCTGCTTGAACATTTCAGGGTGCTCCCTGGGCTGACCACCTCCCCATCCTGGCCCCGTCTGGGGGCGGGGGAGTCCAAGGTCACCGAGAACTCACCGTGGCCAGGAGGCCTGGCGCCTCTCTCACGGTGGCTGYGGCACTCAGGGCGGCTCCCAGGCTCAGCAGGCCCGCCAGGCTGATCCCCAGGGAGAAGACTGGGTGCGAGAGAGGGGAGGGTGGGGTGGCCTGGGGTGGGCCTGAGGCACAGAGCCTGGGCCTGCCTCCAAGTCGGGGGTCCTGGGGGTGGGCTGGACCTCTGGGGAGGCCACACTTCCCCATCAGACAGGGATGTGCCTCCCACTGCCCAGTGACCTCCTTCCTCCCAAGGCCAGGGGGGCGAGGGAGCAAGTGGGGCCTGGGGCGGGCACTGCTCCCCTCCTCTCCCGGCTTCAGGGGCTATCTTGAAGCTGCCACCATGCCCCAGTGACAGGTGGCCCTGTGAGGCTGTGGCCTTATCAGCCCAGACCCAGGCCCCAGGCTTCCTGCTCCAGGGTGGCTGGGGCCGAGGGAGCAGGAGACCTGGACCTGCAGGCACACACTCATGGCCTGTGTCCCCCACCCTGGCCCGCGGGGCAGCCGCCCTCCTGAGCCCCTTATGCTTCTGCTGGGACATGCCCTCCCTGAAGCAGGCGCCTCGCTCTGGTGGAAGGGGGCCACCCGCAGGTGCTGGCCCTTCCTCAGTGTCCTCTGCCCTCTGAACACTGATATTCCGCTGCTGCATCCCACAAGACCCTCCAAGTCCAGCTCCAGGCAGCCCCTGGTGTGGACTGAGCTCCAACAGCAGGGACCTCTGTCCCGTCACTGCCAGGGACACCACACTGTCCCCACACACCTGTGGGGTGGGAGATGAGGGCAGGAATCCCAGCCACGGTCCAGGACACCAGGGATGCTCCTTCCAGCCCCTGACCCCTGGTTCCTGCCCCAAGCCAGCTCCTCTGGACGGGCTGGGGCTGGGGAGCTGGACCCTCGTCCCCAGGGCCCTTCACCAGCAGCCTGCTTCCCCTGTGCCCTGTGGCGGCTCTGACCTCACTCACCCCAGCGGTGCACGGCCTCCCACGGGTTGCTGTCCAGGGATGCACGCCTGACCACAGCGAAGCGGTCCTCGAGGTGAAGGAGAGCCGTTGCAGTGGCCATCGAGAGGCTCAGCAGCTGGGGGTGGGCAGGCTGAGCCTGGGGCAGTGGCAGCTGTCCCGGGGCGGGGAGCCTGAGGCCCTACAGGGCAGGGTCTAACCCCAGACCCTTGGTTTCTGGCCTCACAGRAGATGTCTGAACTTGAGGACCGTGGGGTGTCTCTGGGGTGGTCTCAGAAGCCTCCACCCAGACACCGTCACACACGCCTTGACACACACACTCATGGCACAGTTTCCCCAGGACCCAGACCTTGGGTCAATCCGTCTGCAGAGCCCTGACCCCTCCCCAGCCCAGGAAGAGCCCTCTTCTCAGAGCAGGAGGAGGCCTGAGAGCCCTGGAGCCCAGGTGGCCAGTACCCTTCCCTGGCGTAGCCCGTCCACCCCAGGCCCAGGCCACCCAGGGCCCTGGGTCCAACCCAGGCTCATCTCGGCCCTGCACTGTCCCTCAGGAGGATGGACACTGTCCACAGGGGCCTCCTATCCAGATGTCAGGAGTGCCYCCCAGGGTTCCAGCGCCAGTGTGCCGAGGCAGACTCGGGCGGCAGGGCTGGCRGGTGTAAGTGTGCGTGCGCGTGTAGGCCTGGGCCACCCTGCCACCCCCACCCTCCTGCCAACCCCGCCTGTTACCAAGACAAAGAAGCAGGTGACCAGCATCTGGCACTTGGCGACCCTGACTCGCCTCCCGGGCCCCATGGTGGCCGCCCCTCTCCTCTCCTCTCCTCGGCTCCTCTGCGTGGTTTCCTGCCAGGCAGGGCCTTGCACCACAGCTGCCCGCCCAGGACGTAGGTGCATCCGCCCGTCTGTCAAAACACCCATAAGCTGGGCGGCTGGGTGCCCTGGGTGAAGGACAGGCAGGAAGTGCAGGGCCCCCACCCCTGCTCCCCAGGCCTGGCCCAGACTTTGCATCTGCTGATAGCTGAGGCCTCCCGGGCGGGCGTGGCCCTGTTCCTGCTGGGGCCACGAGGCACCACGGGAGACTGGGAAGTCATGGGCAGCCAGGGGACCCAGCAGAGTGTGTGTGTAGGAGGGAGCTGCGCCCAGGAGTCCTGCCTGGGGACAGAGGCCTGGAGGAAYTGGGAGACAGGCAGGATCTAACCAAGGTCCTCAGGAAATCCGATTTTCAAGCCTCCAGGGCATGATGGGCAGGCAGAAGGGCTATCTGGAGCTACCCAGGAGGACTGCGCCTCACCCACACCCGCACGGGGCCCCTTTGTAAAACACGAGTCAGTGACGACCCTCACAAAATGGTGTGACCCATGAATGGGGCAGAGGGGCCTATGTCGGCCACTCAGTGGGCCTTGGAGGCCAAAGAGACCCTCCTCATGATGTAATGCAGTCTGTGAAACCACCCCATGGGGTTGGRGCTGGCGTGAACCCCTGGGCCGCTGCTGGGTGCTCCAAGGCTGCGGTGCCCCATCCTGGATGGGTGGGTCCCCCTTCCACCTCAGGTAACGTGGGGTCTTCCTAGACACGAGGTGACCTCTGTGTGGGGGGAGCAAGGAAGTCCTCCATGTTCTGGAAGCGGGTGGAGCAGATCTGTGTTGGCAAGCTGGCAGAGGGCACCGCTGTGATCCCCTGCCCTCCCTCGGGCGCTGGAGCCCTCGTCCTTCCCTGCACACCCTCTGGAGCACTGGTCCTCTGGAATGTCCAGCTGGGTCTGTAGGGCAGGGGCTGTGTGCCCACCAAGCTGCTCCAGGTGGAGGCCCAGGTGTGAAATGGGTCAGGGCCAAGGGGGTGGCCGACTGCTTTGTCCCCAGCAGAGCCCCACTCTCCTGCCCCCGGCCTTTATCTTTAAGGTATTGAGTGTGCACACAGGACCCCCTTTCCCCTATCCTCTTCCTTTGTCTATGAATTAATTGATTTATTAAAATGGTTTTGTCAYAGGATCTATCCTAAAGGGACCCAGTGGCCAAAGCTGTTGTCGAGCAACAAAATAAACTGGGAAKTATTGGGATCCTGACGGAGATAAACAAAAGGTTGACTCTTCAAGTTAGGGAGGAAGAAGAGGAGAAGAATTCCTGTACGTCACGAGAGTCCTTCATCAGCAAGGTGAGGTGTGACTCTTAGAAGTACCGGTGGCTGCAAGAAGTCACACACGCTGGGAAGTGGGCGGCTTTGGAGCCTGGCTAGCAAGCACACCTGGGCAGGTGGTTGGCCTGCTCTTCCCTCCGACTTAGCGCTGTCCCTGGCCCCGCGGCAGAAGCCCCAGGTTACAGTCTACTGTGATTGGCTAATTTTAAATTGGGGCGGGCAAAGGAAGGGGGTCTGATTTAAATGGCTGCAACTGGATCTCCAAATGGCTACAATTGGATTTTTTTTGAATTTTTTTTTTAGTTGCAGATGGACACAATGACTTTATTTTATTTATTTTTACATGATGCTGAGAATCGAACCCAGTGATTTACCCAGCTAGGGAAGCTCTTCCCACTGAGCTACACCCCAGCACTTTTGATTTTGAGATAGACTCTCAGTAAGTTGCTGAGGCTGACCTTGAACTTGTGATCCTCCCGAGTAGCTGGTACTACAGGTGTGCGTCACCAGGCCAGCCTTTCCACACCTTATAACCCTAAAATGTTTCTAAAATGTGCATTTTATCTGAAAGCCTAGATTTGCCCATCCGAGTCGGTCTGGAGAAGGGCTCTGCCCATCGGCCCCTGAGCCCTGAACTGGGCCAGACTCCGGGCGGCTCCCTTAGCTCCTCCTCCCCCCACCCCTGGTTCTGCTCCCCCTTCCTGCACCGCTCACTCTTCCCTGGTCACTGCCCCTGCTTGGCGCCTCGCCTTACCTGGGCAACTGTCTCTGGGAGCCCTRGCGGTCTGGGGAGACCTTGGTGCAGAAGCAGCCCCCTCCAGCTAGACCAGAAGGTGGCAGTCTCTGCCTCCTGAGGGACCCCCCAGCCACCTAGGAGACCTGGCACAGGGACCCCAGCCACCTGGAGGGGAGCCCAACCTTCCGCACCTGGAGGGAGGGCTCACAGAAGCCCCCTCCACCCAGCAGTGAGCCCCGGGGCCCTGAGCCCTGGAGCCTGGGGCCTGCGCCACACCTGGGCCGGGCCTCTGTAGACCCAGCGGGCAGGGCAGGTAATGCACAACCTGGGCACCGTGAGCTCACTCCCCTCCTGCCCACTGAGCTGACCCGTCAGGGCCAGGYGGGCACCTGAGTTCAGGCTGGCCTCTCTGCCTTTGGCCCCGTCCTCAAGTGTCCCCCATGGCTGAGACACACCCTGGGAGCTGCCCGGGGGCCACCCTGTGTCCAGGTCGGCTGGCCCTGCAGCCTGGGCTGTCCTGCCTACCCTAGCAAACCCCGCCCTGGCTTTCAGTAGCCGGGCTTCCCTCAGACCAGGCTCCCRGGCCCTGGAACCCTCAGCACTGCACATGCCCATGCCCTGGACATTGGAGGGCCATCCTGTCCCCCACTCTGGCCCTTCTCTGGGGAGTCAGGGGTGGAGTGGGCTCCAGTGCCGTATCTATCCTGCTGGCACATGGTTGCCCCCCAGGAGAGTCCCGGGGACAGTAGGCCCCTCCACCCGTATCCATGCTGTGCCACCCTATGGTGCATGGGGCTGGCACCATGGAGCCCACTGTCCTGCCCAGGGCCACCAGAGATGCTGAAGGAGCAGAGAAAGGGCTGGGGCACCAGTGTGTCTGGGAGGGTGTCCCTGAATGACCTCTGGGGCGTTCGCACCTCTCAGGATTCCCTCGGGGCAGGAAGAAGGCTAGCCSAGGGCTGCGGATGGAGCCCTCTACAGCCTCTGGCCTGGAAGCACTTCCAGCCCTTTTCCTGGTGGCTGGTGAGGAGTCCCCAGTGACCAAGGCTGTCGGTATCACAGGCACCTCAGACCCCTTCAGGAGCCAAGGGACATTGCCATGACAGTGCTCCTTCCCATTGGGGCTGCAGACCCCAYGCAGGAGGCTCAGGGCCTCTCTGTCATGGGGCAGGGACAGGGGCTGGGACAGGGGCAGGGTTGGGAGCGTCTTAGGAGGGGCGGGGCCCAGGGCCAGAGGGCTTCAGAAAGGGAGGCTGGTGTCGGCATCTGCAGGGGACTGAACTGTGTCCCCATACTCCTAGGTGGGCACCCACTCAGTGTGGGTACCAGGAGTGGGTACTCTGACCCCAAGGTGGGGGCCAGGGGTGGCCTTGGGAGTGGCCAGGTGAGCCCTTGTGATGGACGAGAGGCTCTTTCGAGGAGGAAGCAGACACCCCTCTCAGCTGGTGAGGGCACAGTGAGGGGAGGCCTTCTCCCACAGGACGGGAGCCCTCCCCAGGGTGGGGTGGCTGCAGCCCTGGCCCGAGGCCCCAGGGACCCAGAAGCTGACGCTGCTGTCTCAGCTTCGCCCRCTCCCAGCTCCCGTCTCCGCTCACCTCCTTGTCCACTCAGCTCCTGCTCRTTGAGTGCCCTGGAGAAGCTSTGTCCATCCGACGTGGCCTCCTGGCAGCCTGGGCCTGTTCAGAGGCAGCAGGGGCTTCATTGGAGGGGACCCAGGCCCTAGAGGTCCAGGGGGGCCCAGCCACATGGCCCTGGTTGCAGAGGCCACCATGACCAGTGTGGGCAGCCGCAGGGAGCTTTCCTGCCCCTCGTGGGTCTTCCCGMAAGGTCCCTCTCTGGGTGCCAAGGTAGGGTGGGGCCCAGCAGGGTTTGCCTGGCAGAGGGTGGGGTGAGGGTGGCCCCMTCCCAGCGGAGGACCCGCACACACAGGGACTGGCAGTGAGGTCAGCCAGGGCCACYCTTCCCTTGGGTGGCCCTGAAGTGAGGTTCTGGTGTTTTCCACAGCAGCATCAGGACTGCGGCGGAGGGAGGAGGAGCCCGTCCGGGTGGGCATCTCGTTGGGGAGAATGTGGTCTTCCAGGAGCACAGGACATTGGAATCAGGGGACCGCAGGAGCCCCTGGGCCTGGTGCTGAAATGGCATCTGTGATGGGCAGGGGCCAGAGAGTCTGGCCCATGGACACCTGTGCCTGGGCCTGTTGGTCACCATGTCCCTGGACTGGAAGCCAGGGAGCTCAGGTGCAGCTGGACTGGAGTCTCACCTGGAGCCACCCYCTCCCCCATTCAGGTCCGGCTGGAGATGGCTCACTGGCCATGAGCAAGGGAGGCCTGGGTCCTCTAGGAAGGACCCTGCTCGGCCACCGTGATTTACCGCCCTCTTTCTTCCAGCTTCCCCAAGGGACCTGCAGCCACTCTCCAGGGTGACTGTGCCTTGGGCAGGGGAAACTTAAACTCTGAGGGTTGCTGGACTCTGGCTCTAGACTGACCCATTCTGGGAGACCAGAGCACCTCTGGGTCTCTGTGCTGGCCCCAGGTACTGGGGACCACCCAGCACTAGGCTTCTCAGTGGGTCTCTCTCACTGAGCAGCAAGAATCTGAGATACTCCCAGCTGGGCACAGAGGAGCAGGCCTAGAGTCGCAGCAGCTCAGGAGGCTGAAGCAGGAGTTCAAAGTCAGCCTCAGCAACTTAGCGAGGCCCTAAGCAACTCAGTGAGACTCTGTCTCTAAATAAGAAAAGGGATGTGTTGTTGTCCTCTTGTAGCTGGATGGCTTGTATTTTCAGTGCTGAGTAGTACTCCTTTGTCGGGATGTACCAAGTTGATTTGTCGTTGACCTGARGAAGGCTGAATCCCAGCTTTGACAGTTATGCATAAAGCTGCTACAGACACTCACACCTGGACCTAAGTTTTCAACTGGTTTGCAGAAACACCCAGGCATGCCTG